TGAAGCACTGAATTAAAGGGTTCATTTAAAAAAAAAAAGGGTTGTGAAACATTCAACTAGAATTTGCATGTTTTAGGCTGGAGGCTGCTAAGGATGACTACCGCATCCACTGTGAGGAGTTGGAGAAGCAGCTGATTGAGGTTCAGCACCGTAATGATGAGCTCACCAGCCTGGCAGAAGAATCACGAGCTCTCAGAGATGAAATGGATGTCCTGAGGTGTGTGAGGAAGTGTTCTGTGGCAGCTTGATCAGCTTTGGTGATGTACTGTCTTTGAATCAGAGTGCACACAAAACAAGCACGAAAAGAGAAAACCTTCTTTGCCTTCCAGAGAGAGATTAGCAGACAGCTGTGCCAGTTAGTTGAGCAGGAAGATGAGGACTGATGTCCATCCCCTCAACCAGAGAAGACCTGATCTAATCTTGTGTTTAGCTGGCCTTTAACAGAGAGAGTTATTCTTGCCCAAGCAAAAACAAAAGGAAGCAGGAAAAAAATCAGAACAGATTGTATTTGGATTAGAGCTTGGTTCTTTCTGAAGCAGGTATTTTTCACACTTACAATGGAGCAGCTGCCTTGCATACAGTGCTAGCTAAAGGTTTGGACACACCTCACTTTAGTGGCTTCTTTGTATACTTTCTACATTTGTAGCTTAATACTGAAAACAAACACTGTAAAATAAGACTGGAATTATGCAATAAATAAAGTTTCAACTTTTAGATTCTCTAGAAGAACCAACTTCTGCTCTGACAGCAGCTTTGCACACACGCAGCATCCTCTCAGCCACCTCTGCCAGGTTGTCATCTGGAATAGTTTTCCAATAGTCTTGAAGCATCTTGCATGATTTTTGAAGCTGTTAACTTATTAATTAGCTTATTCTCTGTACCAGAGGCAACTCTTGGTCAGTGTCATCATAGCTTTTGATGGTCTTTGTGACTGCAGTTGAAGAAACTTTAAAAATTCTTGACATTTTCCAGATTGATTGACCTTCATCTATTGCAAAAATTATGGAGTTTAATTAGTTGAGCAGTTGCGTTACTATTACTTATAGCAACACTACCAAAGTACAAAATGACTCAAAGAAATCTCACCAGTTATCTTCTGCCAAGGCACAGCTTTAACTGGAAGCTGTTCTAGGTGAGTTCCTTGTGAAGCTGGTTAAGATACTGTCATCAAGGCAAACAGTGGCTACTTTGAGGAATTTAAAACATGAAACCTATTTAGCTGTGTTTAACACTTTTTTGGCTCGCTAGATAATTCCATATGTTATTTCATCGTTTTGATGTCTTAATTATTAATCTACAATGTAGAAAATAATAGAAGAAAGAACCACTGAACAAAGTACACCCACAGTTTTACTTGTACTGTAGATGTTTTACAGGCTTACGCTTTTTTTTATCATTAAATCTTCATTAGGTATTTACTGTACTCTGAACTGACATGCAGTCACAAGAAAAAGTAATGGCACTGTTTGTAATTTTCAGGTTTTTTGCATAAATTGGTCATGAAATGTTATCTGATCTTCACCAAAGTTACAAATATCACCTAACACAATATTTCTAAGCTGATAAAAACAAACAGTCATGATCTTTCATGTCTTTATTGAACACACCCATTAAACATACAAAGTGATGGACACTCAGTGACCATGCCCTAATTATGCATACATTTTTGTCACAATAGAATTGAGCCCCTCACCCCCACCCCCATATACAGTTAGAAGGGGAAATTAACTAAAGAGACCAAAACTGTTTTTTGTAACAGGCTATAAGTGTTTATTTCTGCTGTAAAATTGGGCATTTTAACATGGGAGGTTATAGGGATTAACTGTTTTGGTGCCAGCCTCAAGTGGCCATTCAAGAAAGTGCAGGTTTTGGCACTTCCATATTGGCATAGTTTCCTTGCCTAGGAGGTTGTTGCTTGGTCCTCTCTCCTCCTGTTTTCCTCATATCGTTTCTTTGTACCTCACGTGGGTGGGATTAAGATGCAAGGAAAAGATGAAAGTGAGAGAAATGGTGGTCCTTATAAGAGGTGTGAGATGCATCCAATTTTCACTTTCAAATTGATGTCAGGTGTATCTCGCATCCAGTGATACTAATGCTATAATTAGCCTACTTTATTTTATCCACTTATTACTTGTACACTTGAAACGCCACAACAGTACAGTTTCCTCGTGAGATGTTCACTAATGTATACCTCCGCCATGGAGGATATGTTATTTCCTATGGAGCAATCGTTACATTTTGGTTGTGATCCAGATCATTATCCCGATCCATGAGTATTTTTATTCATTTTTTTTAAGTTAATATGGGAACACTGAGCTGTATGTGTGGTGGTTTGTGCTTTCTGAATATTGTATAGTGGTGTTGATTATTATTATTATTTTTTTTCCCCCCCTCTGTTATTCCTATAGGAACTGCTCAGATCGGGTGGTGATGCTGGAGGCCTCAGTGGAAACGTACAAGCGTAAACTGGAGAACCTGGGTCATCTGAAGAGGCAGATGAAGCTGCTGGAGGAGAATAACATGACATACATGCACAACACCGTCAGCTTGGAGGAAGAGCTGCGCAAGGCCAATGCTGCTCGTGCGCAGCTCGAGACTTATAAGAGACAGGTGAATGATGCACAAAGCATGGTTGATATTTCAAAGGAGAGTCTGCCCTGAAATCAGTCACTTTATGAATCTCACAAAGAACAGCCTGTTAGTATTGCAGCAGAGAGACACGTTTCAGTGATTATATTAAATGGCATTTGCTAGGAAAATGTATTTAAAGCATCATATTACTTTATTTGTGTTTACATATACATTGTGTCAGGTCCGAGAGCTACACAGGAAGTTGTCTGAGGAGACGAGGCGAGCAGACAACCTGGCCTTTGAGATGAAGAAGTTGGAGGAGAAGCATGAAACTGTGATGAAAGAGAAAGAGGTGCGACTGCTTTTGAAATATGTTGAGAAGAAATGCCAAAGATTTTTAAACTCTTCTTACTGACATTAAGACTTTTGTTTTAAAAACCTTGATGCCGCCACTAGAGGATCATCATTGAGAGAGATTCTCTGAAGGAGATCAATGAGGAGTTGCGATGCACTCAGGTTCAACAACACCAGCTCTTCCAAGCAGGTATCTCACTGGAAAGTCAAATCTGACTGGAATGATGCTGCTTGTCATTTTGATATTCTGAAATGTATCTGCTCTTTTCATGTAGGGATGCTTCCTTCTGGCAGCCCCAGCCATGATAACCTGGCCGCTGAATTAATTCCAATTGAGCACAGGTAATGGATGGGCAGCGCGGTGGTTAGCGCTGTTGCCTCACAGTAAGAAGGTTCTAGGTTCAGGGCTGTTCTCTTAGGAGTTTGCATGTTCTCCCTGTCCTTGCGTGGGTTCTCTCTGGGTATTCCGGCTTCCTCCCACAGTCCAAAGACATGCAGGTTACGTTGACTCTAAATTGCTCACATTAGTGCATATATATTTATATCCCACTTTGGGTTTTGTCAGGAAGGGCATCCGGTGTAAAACACGTGCCAAATGTATGCATGTGAACAGTTGATTCGCTGTGGCGACCCCCAACGGGGAGCAGCCAAAAGTAGTAGTAGAGTACAGGTAATGGATACTGTTTCTGACAACACAGGGTTTGTTTTTTATATTCCAGTGTGGTGTGTGAATACTGACTTTTGTGTGATTGTTCAGAGAAAAGTTCATCAGGCTCCAGCATGAGAACAAGATGCTGAGAGTGCAGCAGGAGGAGTATGAGAGGGAGAAGATCACTGCTCTGCAGGCCCAGCTGGAGGACGCACATAAGACATGCAGTGAACTGGACACTGAGAACAGGTTAACAGGGTTCATATCTGTCAGTCAGAGATAGATGTGAAAGAGGTTCCTTTCTTTGTACTCATAGCTGCCTTGTTGTTCATAATGGGTCGCTCTGAGGTGTAAAGTTTGCTTCCTGCATGTTAACATACCCTTCCTCTGTAATTGATGTGTAGATTGAGTCGAGAGCGGGTCAGTGAGTTGCAGCTGCAGGTCGAGGACCTCCAGAAAGCTCTGCAGAATCAAGCAGCCAAACCTGATGATGTGAGTATGCCGGCATGCGCCGGCACCAATACAGAGAACACTGTCCCACTGAAATAGTCTTATTAGGCTAGTAGACTGCGCACTTTCATGACATTACACAAGAAGATCTTTCTAATTTATCATTTCAGTAAAAAATTTAAACAGATTTAAAGGCATAGTCCTTAAACAGTGTTTTGTTTATTTTGCAGTGCAAAACTAACTTGTAACTTAATTTATATTTACAGTCAACCCTGAAGCGCAAACTTGATGCACACATGTAAGTACGAGTCCTGGGTCAGTGCTATGAGTAAAGTGAAATGAATTTCCATGTTCTCTGATAGATTGAGGTAAAAACAAAATTGTTTCCTCAGGGTGCAGCTGAATGAGGCTCAGGATGAAATCATGAAGAAGAAAGAGCTGCTGGAGGACCTTCAGCCTGACAACACTCAAACCTGTAAGTGTCAGGTCACCAGTCATAAGATGGTGTCAGTATATGGAACCACTACTGCAACCTCTGGGGTGCAAAATGCATCAACACACAACCGTATAATATTAGAGCTCATGATTTTCCATTTACCTCAAAGCCTTGAAGGTAGATGAGCTGATGGCCACTCTGAAGAAGAAAGATGACGACATGCGAGCCATGGAAGAGAGATACAAAATGTACCTGGAGAAAGCTCGCAATGTGAGTAATGAAAGAATATTTTGTCTTTTTGTTTTGGGATTTTATTCCAGTCATGTGAATAAATAAAGCACAAGGCTGAATTCACTATTTGAAGTATTGCCAGTATTAGTACTGTACTGTACTGTATTTCAGTATTGTCCTTCCATTAACTGCTTGTAGGTGATCCGAGCATTGGACCCCAAACTGAATCCAGCCACTGCTGAGATCCAGGCTCTGAAGAACCAGCTGGCAGACCGGGACAAGCAGATTCTCAACCTGGAAGTAAATCTGCATTTTGACTAGTTTTGTTTAAATTTTTGCATTATGACAACACAGGATGTGTTTAAAGGACTTTTTGTTTTCTAATTTAATTTTGCCTATTAGCGTCAGTGTGAGCAGGCCAAGTTGAGAGAGTATGAGGAGCAGCTGATTGTCACAGCTTGGTATAACACGGTAAGATAAAATTACCACAATTTGTCTGCCTGGAATCCAGCTTTTTATGACATTGACACTTGGTGTATACTGCAAATTTATCTTTGTTTGTCCTCAGGGTCTGAACTTCCAGAAGCTGGCCTTTGAATCCCGCCTTGGTGGCCTCAGCTCTCCTCTGCTGGCTCCTGGCCAGTCTTTCTTGTCCCAGCAGCGGCAGGTTTCAAATGCCCCCCGCCGGGCGCTCTCCATCAGCATGCCTGCTACTGCCTCTAAGTAGATCCTGTCACAGAGCCAAGTTCAGTTATGGATAAAAATACCCTCCCACAGGTGACCACTCAAGTGACCTTAAACACATCTGCTCTCAGCACTCGGGAGGACTGGGGGTCACAGATGAGCCGATTGGGATCAGTGAGCACTTTATCAAACACAGACCAAGAAGCCACCCAACTGAAGCACACATGGTCTCAACGATATACTTTGAACATGTTTCCATTCTGCCCTGTGTGTTTGCTATGACTGCAGGCTCAGCTGAGTTCTTGCTGTAATCAGTTTAGTCTTTGCTCTCTTATACCTCTAATGGTGTGGTCAGGAGTGACAGAGCTGTAAATGAATGCTTAACAGTTTTAAGAATCAGAGCCCTTAAGGGTTACTTGAATGCTAACACTAACTAAATGAAACTTCAGATTGCTGAAGTATGTACAACTGTGTCATCTTACTACTGTCCTACTGATGAAACATGCTTTAGATGTATTTGAGAAAATGATTACTGTATTTGGTGCTGGCTACCAACGATGTTTAACTATACTTTGTTTGTTTGTTTGTTTTTACTGAAATGGAGCAAGCCCCATCATATAAAGCAGTGTGTGTGTGTGTGTGTTTGTGTCTATGATGTCAGCGCTTTGAATCCAATGGGCAACACTTCTCACACATGTGAAAAAAGTTGGTTTGAAGTATTTGCAAATTTTTGTTAAAAAGGGGGGGAATAAATCGCATGTACGCAAGTATTCACGGCCTTTGCTCAATACTTTGTTGAAGCACCAATTACAGCCTCAGTTTTGTTTTGTTTTTTTATTTTTAATTTGCAAAGATTTCAAACTTTTTCACATTGTCATTATGGGGTCTTGTTTGTAGAATTTTGAGGACAATAATGAATTTAATCCATTTTTGAATAAGGCTGTAACCTAACAAAATGTGGATAAAGGTAAGCGCTGTGAATACTGTCTGGATGCACTGTATGTTCTAAAGTCCTCAAGTGTGACTTGACCTCTCCACGGGCAGCGTGCTGACAGGCCTCTGAATATCTTGAATCTTATTCAGTGATCAATAATCAGCTATGATCTGTGAAGTTGTACAGTAGAAATCTCCACATGATTAACATTAGCTTTTGATCCAAATGTCAGATTAAGCATTCATATAGTTTCTTCAGATTATAACAGGAGAGTTTTGATTGCTGCTGTTGAGATTATACTTAATCATGGTTATTTTTTCAGTTTAGGGTTGGTGGAAGTTCAGAGTGAAGAGCACTGTAGAGAAACATTTATCTTTGATATCGTGGGTTACTAGCTGTCTGGTCTTAGGGTTTTTTGTTGTTTTTTGTTTATTTTTATTTTTTTTACTGCACTGGTGTCAACTTGAAACGGCAGTCGATTGCCTTGTCACTCTGTGACAAGGCCAAATCAGTGTCATGGATTTGCCATTTGTGATCTATAGATATGTCAGTGCTTCTATGGTTTTTTTGTATATGATGATTCTTGTAGATTTGATTTTAAATGCAGTGTCATTTGTAAAATAAGTATGATCAAATGTAGCACAGCAGCAAAACTACATAGTGCATCAGAACGTATTCACAGCACTTAACTTTCCCACACTTTATGTTACTTATTAAAAAAATGGATTAAATTCATTATTGTCCTCAAAATTCTACAAACAATACTCCATAATGACAACATGAAAAAGGTTTGTTTGAAATCTTTGCAAATTTATTAAAAAAGGGGGGGGAATAAATCGCATGTACACAAGTATTCACAGCCTTTGCTCAATACTTTGTTGAAGCACCAGTTACAGCCTCAAGTCTTTTTGAGTATGATGCTACAAGCTTGGCACAACTATTTTTGGGCTGTTTCTCCCATTCTTCTGTGCAGTACTTCTCAAGCTCCATCAGGTTGGATGGGGAGTGTCGGCGCACAGCCATTTTCCAATTGGGTTCAAGTCTGGGCTCTGGCTGGGTCACTCAAGGACACTCCTTTGTTATCTTGCCTGTGTGCTTAGGCCCATTGTCCTGTTGAAAGATGACCCATCGCCCCAGTCTGAGGTCCAGAGCGCTCTGGAACAGGTTTTCATCAAGGATCTGTTTGTATATTGCTGCAGTCATCAGGACAATAATAACTTTAATCCATTTTGGAATAAGCCTGTAACATAATGTGGAAAAAGGTCAGCGCTATGAACACTTTCTGGATGCACTGTATAGTGTCATGTTTGTGCACAAATAGAGAAATGTGAGGCGTTTTGAATTTTCAGGAAATTGAGTTAAAAACTGTAAAGACTGGTTTTCTTGCAAATTAATAAATACATTGTTTTCTAAAAGTGTTTCACACTGTAGCAGCGATCTCAGTTTTAGTGCAGAGATGAAAAATGCGGAGGCCTGCACTCAGGAGAAAATAAAAACAGCTAAAATTTCTGCATTTCATTTCAACACGAAGCAGTAAATTGCAAGAAATTATTTGACACATCAGCACAGGTGACCGTGTTGCATCTGTGCTGTTGCATAAAGCAAGGAAACAATTTTACAAACTGACACCATCAGAATAGATGCAACCAAACATCCATGCAGGTATAGACACATATTTATTTGACAGTTATTTTTATAATGCAGTAGTCAAATTGAAATCAGGTACAGTGACAAGTGAGAAATAAGAGACATGAGCAATGACAGCTGGAAGACAGACTTTCTGGTTCAGCTAATGAGTAATTCATTTCACACATACATTATGTAATGATTATATTTATTGAAATATTTCCATGTGCCACACATGTTTTTTATTAAAATGATTTAAAACCAGTTGAACTGGCATTTAGGTAAGGATAAGAAAACTACAAATCTTTGTTTAAAAATGTGTAATATATATTTTTGGCTTTACTCTAGCACAGCCAGTAGGGCAGATGCCTCATGGTTCAGCGGGCTTTGGCGTAGACCTTAGAGAAGTACAGTGTACGTGTGGCTCCAACGATTCCACTTAACTCCACCCAGAGTAGAAAAACGAACTGACAAAAACAAGAACTGAGTTGATTTGCTTGTCAATTCTTAAGTCAAGTTAAGCCAACATAATATTTCAGAAGGTTATAGTATAGAACAATGCTAAAACTCACTAACATTACATTATAATGTTAATATATTGTCCAGGAATGTGTGAAACTTACCAGAGTCACATATTAGACAACAGGTCACTTATTCCCTGCTCCTGCATCCACAGCTATCTGATGTTTATGGGAATGTGTTCCTCATATGTCTGGGAAGACACAAAACAGTGTTTGTGTCTGGCTGGAAGATGGTGACACAAGCAGACAACTTTGTGGACTGGTCTTACAGCCCCATGGTGAACAGAATTTATTCAAAATACAAACCTAGAATACACACATTGAGTATTAAATATTCAAACTGTTTCCTGAGCTCTGCCTGAACAATCTGGTTTCTTTCAATCTCAGTCTTGAGTAATTGGGGGTTCAGTGTCTTGCTCAAGGACACTTGGAATCGAACTGCTAATGCTCTGGTTAGGAAACAACCTACTCAACCTCCTGAGCCACAGCTGCCCCCAACTCTGTGATCACAGACCCAGCCAGCCTGTGGTTTTTTATTGTTGGCATAAACAATACAACAGAAAAGAGACAAATATATCCTTTGCATGGGTTGAAGAAATTTCTTCTGTTCAGGTGAGCCACTTGACCCTGCGTGAGCTCTGTCTCTCTGATCCCAGTGCTGTATGACTTCACCTGTGCCCAGACTTTGAGTGAACTTTCTGTTGATTTTATACAATCTTCTCCTGTCTTCTCTTCTTGCGCGTTCAATAAAAGAACCGGGTAAAAATCTAACACACAGCCACAGGCCAGTCACAATAGACAGTTGTGTTCATTATGCGCTTTGTAGAAAACTTGATTTGATTTTGATTTTATTTATTCTTTCAAACATGTAACAACAGTCAATATGTCAACACACATAATTCCACACATATCCACAAATATATTTTCAATTTGCTTATACCTAGTACATGCTTGAACGGAGTAGGAAGAAGTTAGACTTATCTAGTCCTACCCCTTATCATCTTATCATCATTGGTTTGCAAGCAGTATTACTACATGGATAATTTTGTTCTACA